TCTACCAGCAGGAAAGAGATGAATTCTCTCTACTCCCCAAAACACACCAAATTAAATCATCTTTTTTGTGGTTTCTTTGGATTATTTTTGTAAAAGAGCTTTGATGGCAGCTGCAAACTGGTCAATCCAGTTATGGGAGCGTAACTGCAAGATTACAGAACTAAAATGTCTGCTTGTGCTTGAAAAGGGATACAGGCTTCTGTTAAGATTACCTTGATTGTCAGCAGCTCTCTCAAAATCTCAGTTGCTCACGCAGAGGGCACAGAGCCAGTGTCCCCATCTCAGGCTTTTCTCCTCCAGCAGCCAGCACCGCCGGGACTGGGACGTGGCTGGGCTTAGCTGGGACCGCACCCATGCAGTTTCCTTGCCCTGGGGAGCATGCAAAGCGGGTAGTTGATTTTAGTTCTAGTGTTGCAAATGTGTAGTAACTCCGGCCGAGAAAATGGTAGATTATAGTCTGTAAAGTCATCTGTTTGTTCAGCCATCATAGGTGTTATTCTACCTGCACCACTCACTGCAAACAGCTAACTGAAAAGTGATGCAGTAGGAAAAAAATGCAGTGCGTAATGATGAACTTCTGCAAACTATGTAAAACTTTTTACTTCCTTTGAGAAGCGTTTGCGTTCTGCTGCCTTTTACCGCAGCTCTTTATGGCACTCTCTTTTCATTTCCTGATGGCTTTAGGGCTGTGCGGCAGCACGCGCAAAGAATCAGCAGTCTCAATATAAAAATTCGAACGCCCATCCCATCAGCAAGCGTAGCTGTACTTCTTAGTGCCTGACCCTGGAGCGGTATTCAAGCAGCTGGGTTTAGCCTTAGGAACTGTGTATAGGGGGAGGGGAAGAGTCAGATGTAAAATGCAGAGATCTCCCACACTGCAGGCATGGGTTGAAACTTCAACTGACGTTACTGCCTGGCATACAGAAATTGTGCTCCCTTTCTGGTGCATTTAAAAAAAAACCAAAAAAAAGCCCTGTGATAACTGAATAGCAGTTTTGGGTATCACAATGCTGGATTTGAGCAGCTAATTTCCATTTGAGTCCCACTTTACCTTCCTAAGCCTGTTTGGTATCCGGCCCTACTGGTCTCTAAAAGATTAATTCCTTTCCAAATGACACTATTACTTATATTCTAAAGGGCTAATTGAAAGAAATTGAAAGAAATCAGTTAGCTCTTCAATTAGAAAGCCTCAACAGTCTTTAATTGGTTGACAACAGCACACTCTTGCAGCAACATTCGTTTCTGGGATGCAGCCTGTGTGTGCTGCAATCTCACAGCAAAGCGACGGTCCATGGGGTTGTTCAGCCATCAGAGGAGAAAGAGCAGGCTGAAGAGGCTGGGAAGGAGATGCAGCGCTTCCCTTTTGCTTCTGCATCTGTCTTTTGTTATTTCTAACTGGTGCTCACAGTCTGATCTGAAAACTTAATAAAACTCTGAAAATATATATAAAACTTTTTTAAACAAAAGGAGTGTAGGCAATACACCTACCTTCAATAGCAGAAAGTTGCTGCACCTTCTGACACTATGACATGGATATATGACATGAATAGCATAGGGAATCCTGAACGCATATGTTATTTGAACAACTTATAGGCAGGTCCCCACGTGGCAAATGCAAAAGCTGTATATATTAGATTCCTTCCCAGAGGGTAGATAATAGAGAATTAATTTTTTCAAAGCATCTAACTGATAGACATGAAAGCTCCATTTTCCACACAACTTAGGACTCAGGGTCACATTTTCAAAGACGCTTTAGTGCTGAACGATTTATACAGTCTTCTCACAGGACTTTCAAAAGTTGGGATCTCAGGTTGCAAGTTGTGAGTTTTTTGAACAGGCCTGGGGGTACCTACCTGAGACAATGATGGGCACAGAGATCTCTTTGAAATCTAGCCATCCAATCCCACCAATTTTCTATGTTTAAATAATAATTTTTTAAAATATGAAGGCCTGCAAATCAGTTCCAATCTTTTGAAAAAGCCCATCAATGGAGAGCAAGACTTTATAAGGGCTACAAACTATTTGCTCTCCTTTAACACAAACAAAGGATTACGCTTTGCTGCTGAACATCCTAAGTGTAATCACTGCTAGCAATTTTTGGTGATGCTTGCTACCTACACCCACAGCCTTCTAGGTATTTTTATTATTTTTTGGTTTATGTATACACCGTATTAGAAACAGTGTTTGAACTCCAGACCACAAAAGCAGAAATACTATGGTGTACCTGGTTACTGTATTGATATTTCAGGAATAAAATGGTCCTGCCGTTGCGTGGTTCCCCATTTCCTCTTTTGTTCTGGCAGGCCCCGTTGCTTGCAGCGATTCATGGAACTGAAAGCCCAGAAAAAAAGAAGATCAGTCAGTTTAACAGGTTGATCTGAGTCATTTTATCACCTCAGGATCGATCAGCAGTGAAAATGCAAGGTGGGAAGGAAAAAGGTCTGTGCCTTTTGAAGGAAGCATGGTCCTGGATTGCTTAGGCATATGGTGAAACCACCGAGTCAGACGATGGCTGCTTAAACTCTCAATATACAAGAAACCTCGAGGCTGGGTCTTGCATGGACCTCCTGTGCGCCTGCCACGGGCACGAGGCCTTCCACAGATAGCTCCTTCGGGGAGAGCAGACTTCAGTCCCCTCCCTAACACAAGCCACTGTGTAATTTACACAAATTCAGTGCCTCAACAAACCAACTGCAGAGATCTGCAAAATCGTCTTTGGCATCCCGCATGTGGTACTTACGCAGCTTTAGGTATGGTCGGCTTCGCTGCCACACATGCTGGGTGGAGCTGGGAAGGACAAGCGTGTAATTAGAAGGTAAAACCCAGCCATGGCCGCTGCAATTCTTGCTGTTCCTGGCTCCTGTTGAATGCTGGCTCTAATTGCATCTTTTATGGGCATAAAAGCATTTATCCGAGATATATAATGCTGTGAGGAAATTAAAGGCTTAGAAAATACAGCTTTTAAACTGAACCTTGTGACCTGGTGCATTGTATGCAGTTACAAGCTGTTTGAAGGCGTCCTTTGGTGCGCTGGGCCTGTTCTCTTTGTTCCTGCCATCCTGCATCGTGCGATTAAAACCCAAGCTAAACATTTCAAACTTTGGAAAGCAACCAGACACATTTTTAGGTCTTGCTCCTGACTAAAAATACACTTCTCGAAGCAGTAATGCCACACAGTACAAATAAAGGCCTAATACTGTACGTAGACCTGAACACAAGCCCAGCACCTTAACTGACTCACTTTACTTGATTAACTTTATGATTAAGAAATCCTGACATGAAACCGCTGTTGCGTTAGAGTTGCCCAAGTAACAAAACTCGCTATCAGTTTGGTGCATAAAATGGTTACTTGGGCAGTAAAAGCTGAATACAGGAATACAGGAAGTTAATGCGAAAGAAGGCCTGAGATTATATTAATGAACAAAAAATATGTGAAATACACCTACCGAGCAGTCTGTTGGAATAGCTCAGATTATTGAAGGAAGCGATGAGGAGATGGGGCTGTTTGAGACACGGAAATGGCGCCAGCTCCGGGAGAAGGGACAGCAGCTGTGACTGGAGCCTCACGTCCTCCCCGGCACCGTCGGGCTCTGGTCCTGGGAGATGCTCTCTGCTTCAGAGATCCTAGATTTGGCCAGACTGACGGACCAAGGCAGCGTTTCTTTTCTGTCTCGGAAACTTAGGTTTCTTCTGCCGCCTTTTCCTGCCCCATTCCCCCTTCCTCCGTCTTTATTCTTATTTCTGTCTCTCTCCCGGCTACTACTTAAAAAGAACCCAGAATCATTAGCCAAAATGTTTTTGCTAGCTCTGAATCTGCAATCCAGACAGCAAACAGCATTATTCTTTATTGCCGGACACCAGCTTAAATTTGTCCTGTAGGCAGGAGAGCTGCGTGCTGCTCTTAACATCCCTGCAGGATCAAAGGTAAGAGCGAATTTATCCTCAGGAAACAAGAATGAGTGACTGTACTGGTTTTGGCTGGGATAGAGTTAAATTTCTTCATAGTGGCTTGCATGGCACTATGTTTTGGGTTTGTGATGAAAACAGTGCTGATAACACAGGGATGCTTTAGTTATTGCTAAGCAGTGCTTACACAGCATCCAGGCCTTTTCTGTTCCTCAGACTGCCCCACCAGCGAGCAGACTGGGGGTGCACAAGAAGCTGGGAGAGGACACAGCTGGGACAGTTGACCCCAGCTGACTGAAGGAATATCCCATGCCATACACTATCATGCTCAGAAATAAAACTGGTGGGGAATGGTGGCTGGCAGGGGCTGCTGTTGCTCAGGGACTTGCTGAGCATTGGTCTGTTGGCAGTGAGCAATTGTTTTCTTTTCCATCACTTGTTTTTCTTGGGTTTTATTTTCCTGTTGTTTTTGTTCCTTTAAAAAAAAAAAAAAAATTAAACTGTCTTTATATTAACCCACGAGTTTTCTCAATTTTATCCTTCAGATTCTCCCCCCCCACCTCGATCCCACTGGGAGGGGAGGGAGCTGTGGGCTGTGTGGGACTTAGTTGCCAGCCAGCGTTAAAACCACAACACTGACCCACAAAGGGAATATTACTGTACCCCACTTCCCTTCCTCTCTTCTCTCATGAAATATCAACTATTATAAAAGATGCAGGCAGGCAAAAAAAAAAAAAAAGGCAAACCCTTTGCTCTGTCTAAACAGACAAAATTGTACAAAGGGGTTGCTTTTTCCCCTCTAAGGGCGCTTGCAAACGCTCGAGCTTTAATCCATAGTCACGTTTGGGAGGTTTTCCCAGTTCGCCTTCCGTCATTCCTCTCCACGTAGCGGAAAAGCAAAGGGTTTAATGGAAATTTTACCGAGGCAAAGACACCCCCCCCCTACTCCAAGGGGGAACGAGCCGCCGCCCCGATCGGGGACCGCGCCCGCTCGGGGGCGGTCTCCGGTGTCCCCTCCCTTCTCCGGTTTCCCCCCCCCGGCCCTTCACCGCGCTCCGCCTCTGCGGGCAGTGCGCATGCCATGGGGCGGCAGCCCGGCCCCTGACTCACCCCCATCTTCTCCCATCAGCTCCCGTAAGGCGAGGAGAAAGGGGAAAAAAAAAAAAATAAAAAAAAAGGCGGCCACCATGAATCGGTTGGGAAAGAAAGCGAATGAGACCCTTATCGAGATGAATCTGTCTGCGGATGGTAGGAGATAGGGGGGCGGGTGGGGGGATCGCTGCTTTGTTTCGCTTCTTTTCCCCCCTTCCCCGGCGGGGCCGGGCGCGGTCGGGGCTGTCCGCCCGTGGAAGTGTCGCGGGTGGGAGGCAGCGGGGGGCTGCGAACCTGGTGGTGGTGGTGGTCGTGGTGGTGGGTCCGGTTCTGCCCCCGGGGCTCTGCAGGCGGAGGTGGGATTGATCCCGGCTGATTCCTGACGCCCCCTCAGTCTGGCTTTGATCCTCCGGCTGCCGCTGGAAAGAGCGAACAGACGCGTTTGCGTGAGCCTGAGCGCAGTTCGATTAGGTCTTTATAAACCCCAAGCAGACCTTGAAAAAAGTGGGTCCTACAACAGCACGCTGCTCAGAACCAATACTAGAGATAGCCCTTAACTACTATTTTTAAACACACCCCAAACGCAAAGGTTGCCTTTGCCTAAACGGCAAACTTTTAGCCTTTCGCGAAGCGCCAGCTGGGTTCAGTCGCTGAGGCCGTCACTGCAAGAAAGTTCTGAGCAGACCAGGTCACCTCGCTTGGGCAGGTGGGAACAACCCATCTCCTGCCTCGCTCCATCCGAGATGCGCCGGTACCCCGTCGGCGTTGCGTAAGGCCTCTGCACCAGGCCGGTGGGTTTGTGTTGGGATCTTGCTTTTTTTTTTGGCGATAGCCAGGTTACGGTTTCCAATTCTTGTCAGTATGTAACGTAACTACTTATACTAAATGTGGTAATACTCTGATTTTGAAAAACAACATGACGCAAATGCCTAAGCGTGTATTTATCAGTACCTCAGCTGGCAACGTGAATCAACAGTCAAGATGTAAGATAGTATGTTGATATTTTCAGAAAGATTCTGTAGATATTTAAAAACAAAAGAAAAATGCTGACCTAGAAAAATTTCTTTTTGGGAATCGTGCTTTGCCATCAGTCCTAGAAGTGAAGATCTTAAAGCAGGAAAGAACCACTAAGCTTCTGGTTTGGCTGCTTGGCTTGTATGTTTTCCCTCACAGCTTGACTATGCTGTCTCTTTTAGAAAAACATGTAATACCATTTTAAACACCTTGAGCACTAGGGTAAAGTCATGATTTTCAAAATCTTTGACAGTCTTGTTTCAGAGAAATATGACAGCAGATAATGACCGTGTAAATTATCCAAAAGAAGCTGTTGACAATGACAGCAAGGAGAGGTGCCCAACTGTGACGAGGCAGGCGTCCACAGCAAGTGTCAGACAAACGTTTGCCCTCTCTGTGAAAGCCCGGCGGAGCTGGCAGACTTGCTCAGGAACCGAAGCAGATGGGTGTTACGGCCTCTTGGCCAGCAACACATTTCCAAAGTCTTGTGGGGAGGCGTGAGTCATTGCCCGTCCCGCTGCCTGTGAGCAATGAAAAGTGCTTAGGACTGAGCTGTCTAACCAGTGGTTGTTCTGCTGAAGTAGAGGAGACTAAAAAATAGTTATAAAATATGCAATAACCATCGAGGGAATGATGTTAGAAGTCAGGTTTGTAAACTTAATTCCTCAGCATTTGGTTTTCCCATGAGCCTCTTGTGTTTTTTTTTTTTTATAGTCATAAACATCAAATATAAGGAGATTTGAGGGCTTTCAGTGAACAAGGACGATTTAGTAGCGTTTACCATACAGTAGCTTGTAACTGTCCATACAAAATCTTGCAGCAGTTCAATTCATTTTTTTTAAACAACCACTTTTCTGAAACAGAAATGAATTGAATATGGGGTAAAGCGAGTAGACTTTTTAAAGTTTCTGTTAATTTGTTTTCCAAAAACCTCTCAAGGTTAAAAAAAAAAAAAATCTTCCTTAAATCATGGTTTAGAAAAGTTAACAGTATGCACATATTGCCACTGGGACTTCTCGAAGCTCTAAACATCTGCTTTGTGCTTTTAAGGAAGAGATAGCCTCTTAAGCAGTAGATGTCTGACGTGCACAAGCAGGGTCTGTGTGAGTCAACAGGAGCAAGGCAGAAGAAAAAACATCTGCTGCTTATTTTCCTTAAAGACGTCTTCCTATTTGGATAGTACGTGTGTATTTAATTCTGGTTTACTAGTCTTTTTCATTAAACTTGAATGCTGAGGAACAGGTTGTGGGGATGAAAAACTACTTACCAACAGCAGAAAGTTTAACTTGCCGGGTCTGTGTTTAGAGACCGTGTGCCAAAACTTCTACCTTGAAGGAAGCTTTCTGGCTTCCTGTTGAATTACACCCGCATGAGGTAATAACTTCCATTTTCGTGTGTGTGATTTTGCTTTCTGTTGGAAGATGTGTGGCATTTACCTCGAATATTAAAAATGAGGAAAACTGAACTTGCAAAATTGGAATGTAAATATCAGAGGAAGAAGACCACGGTATATTGTTAGGAATGTTTCTTTATGTCTAGGCTGGCTTTCAGCATTTTTTCTCCAGCATGAAATGTTAATGTTACAGTAGCTGTGTTGTGGGTTATATCCCAAGACTGTGGATCTTCTGGAAACATATAATTGGCTCCGTGCTGTGATTTAAATACGCTGCCTTTGTACACATGGCTCCCCTTCCAAAACTTCCAGGAGTCCCGTTTGAACTTGAAATGCTCTAGGACTGATCTAAATTCAAACGCTTACTTAGGCTGGTTGTCATCTTGCTTGTGTTCTCTCTGGGAAAGGCAGCAAAACATCGGGAAAAGCCGACGGTGTGACTTCGGAACGGCACTTCTGCCAGTGTGTTGGCTTCTCATAATGCCTCAACATTCAAATACTGCTGTCATTAAATATGTGAAGTATCATTCTATTAAATCAGAATTATTATGATTCATACTAGTAACATAAAATACAGGCCTCTGTTCAAAACTACATCTGTCTCTAATTACTGAAGCAATGTATGTAGTAATTTCTGATCTATTTGTGGCAACGCTGAATGGGATATCATGTTCCTGCAGGGCTACAGCAGAGGGTTTGTTAACGTGAAAGCTTTTTTAAAGATTATTCCTAAGTAATAAAATAAAAGCTCCGAGAAATTTAGACATAGCTCAGAATATAAAAGGCAGGGGAGAAAATACTCCCTTAGGCCAACCAACGTGTAGTTCCTGAGTGGAATTTCTTTACTGGCTGCGATGCGTCACTGCGGGGGCACGGTGTAAATACAGGTTGGTTAGGGGAAGGTAAACCTCCTTTTAAGGGAAGACTCCAGTTTGTAGTAGGAAAGCCTGCTTTTGGGAACTGAGATCAACAACTTGCATAATATCACCTTATATATATTTTTTGTAGACATGCTGTGGTGTTTTTAATGAGAAAATAAACATCAAGCTCATTCCACCACAGCTGTTAAATACGGATTTTATCCAGAGATTGTCTCAGTTAAAAAAAAAAAATAATAATTTGCCCTTGGACTGGTGACAGACTTATAACACTTTGCTTTTAGATGAGGACCCTGCATATGAGGTTTTAAGTCACTCTGCAGCCCTGTGAGTGGCAAAGCAGAGCAGCTCCCAAGGAGGAATTAAATCTCTTGCATGCCTTCTTAACCCAGTAGCAATTATGTGGGATGTTTAAGCCACGCTTCGGAGAGCTGGGCAATGGAGCTGAATTCCCTCAGGAGAACTGACTGTCCAACCCATCGCAGGTGAATGCTGTTCAGCCTCTATTTAATAAGGGGTCTGCAGCTTCACCTTTGTGCTCAGAAAAATGAAAGAAAATGTTCTGCAGCTGGTTTTCTCTCTCGCCGGTTCCTGGAGGAATGGCTTGGTTCCAGACGGGGCAGAGGTTCTGGGCTGTGAATGCCACATAAATGCTGAGGAAGCAATTGAAACCCCATTGCAGTGTAAGGCAGAGTGGTGTTCTCTCAGGCAAGTTTGCAGCTAAGGTGCTGGCTGGTGTGATGTCCTATTCTGAGGTGTTTATAGGACTGATGGAAAGGCAGGTTTCCAGTGCATAGAGATTTGATTTTTGATTTTTTTTTTTTTAAGAAAAAAAAAAATCTGGCTTTGGATCTGAGTAAAATTCAAAATTTTGGAAGTATAACTACAGCTGGAAAGTTTCCAGTCATTGCTGGTGGTCATTGAAATTGTGCTATAAGTGTGGTGTCGCACCCTGGAAGGTTTTTCTAAGTAATTCTTCTCAAATTCCAAACAAAATTCAAAGTTACTTTGCTTTTCAAGCTTTTATTTAACAGGTGCATTAGCAGCATGTGTTGAGAACTGACAGCTGTGCTGAAATGCCAGTCTTTGCACTCTGGAAAAGTCTTTGCAGAAATAAGATAACTATCATAAAATGGAAGGGCACTTTAACATCTGTGTATAAATGATTAATAATTACTATGATGCAAGGGAAAACTAGGATAAGATATAAGGATGCTAGTGAAAATGCTTTTAAAATTATGCTGAGAACTGCTGGCAGATATTTTGAAAAAAAGAAACAACAGAAAACAAACCACAAACCAAAAAAAAACCCCACACAAACCCACCAAAAACCAGAAAACCAAACATGGTTGTCTTCATATTTAGTATCTGTAAACTAATTAATGAGTTGTATATACATGTGGAGAAGTACAGTCACCTAATATAAACATGGAATTAAGAAGGTATAGGTAATGTGAAAATGTGGCGAGAGTTGCTGTGTCAGATGTTAAGTGGCAAGGTAATAATGCAGTGAACTTTTCCACTAGTTTTTTATTGTTATCTGGGGGTTGAGCTGAAGAGCAGTGTAGTTGCTAGGTTGTGCTTCATTATCTAGCAATAACTTCATTATATTTGGTAGTAGCTTTTCACGTGCCTATGTATATAAATGCACGAAGGGGAGGGGAGATCCTTGTGTCGTATTGGTAGGGATAGTTCTTGAAATTATAGTTATGGAAGGATTTTGAGGTATTGGCTATCTGCAGAAAGCTGAATAATATGTCAGGAATTATTTATGAATTAAACATTGTGTGTGGGAGGAGTTGATTCTAGTTTGGGACCTGGTTACTTGGATTATGCTCTAGAGATGTGTGTTTTAATTTGAAAGGCCTCCT